CCCCAAAACCCCAAAACCCCAAAACCCCAGAGTAGAGAGAGGAGATTGAATAGTGGTGTTTAATATTCATCATCTTCTAAAATGGAAGAGTTCTTATTGAAGCGATTTGGCGATCTTGCATTGATAGAGTTCAAGTTAAACTAGAATTTATACAATGGATGCACCTGAAGGGGGGTTGTAGCTCTTGGCATTTTAGATTCTTCTCTGTAAGTTAGGTTGCATTCTTACTGAGGGTGCATATTTGATAGATTAGTAATGTTTTCAGTTTCAACACATTCATATTCTTGATATAACTTAGTTGAGTCTCTATCATCTTGAAGCTCAGAAAGTTGCTTATCTACGAAGGTCAGATCTCATATAACTACTGGTTAGCTGCTCATGACTCAATATCCCATTGAGCAATCTATAATCCTTGCTTGTCCAAGTCTCTTTTTTATATCTTTCCTACACAAATTACTCTTACAATTTGGAATCATTACCATGAAATCATCAACTTTGACTTGATGCTGTCTCTTTTTGGCTTTAGCAAACATTTTAGGGACACCATCATAGTTATCATCACTATAACCGCTCTCAGTTTCTCCATCTGCCGAAATGCAGTTGGTTTTCTGATAGGTGATCATAAACCTTTCGCTGTCATCCATGAGAGATCCAACAAGAGTGTTGAGGTTACGCATACATCTAGCATAGTATACTGCATCAAATTCGTTTAGAAACTTTGCCTCTCCTATTGAAGTGAGATCATGATGTAAAATTTATATAGAGAGGAGAAAACTTCAGTTCTTTTTAAGATAAAATCTATTTCTTTGTTATATAGAAAATCCAAGAATATCCAGGGGTTAAACTAATTACCTTTTTCATATAGCTTCATCCTGGTATGTGCATTCAGTCGGTTCTTTTTCATCCATCAGCCACACAGAAGCCAAGTGATTGGAGAGAAGAAGTTATACACAAAGTCTGAGACCTTCCAATGATATCTCATTCTCCTTTTCATAGCTTTGTGAGCTTTATTTGCCAGAACTTCATTCGGCTTGATCAAATTCTCTATAGAATTCTTGCTCACATGGCTAGATCCATCCTAATTGTAAAAGTATTGGCTTACATTGAGGTCTTCCTGAACCTTGATCTTACTATTGTTTTCTCCTAAAACATCAGAAGCTTCCTACCTTTAGGCTGGTCTTCAGGATCCTCGACATGGTAAAGTTTGGTAAGAATTGAGAACAAGAACATTCTTCCAGAAAATAGAGCTACCAAGAAGCCTCCTGTGCGTTCAAGGATTTCGAATAAACCACCGATGTTTCCTGTAACTTCTAGCAAACTGAAGACCTGGCGCTCATAAGACTTGGTCTCTGCATCTTTCACAAAAAGAAGTTCTAGATATGAATTTGAAAATTACTGTAAATGGTATTATCAACATCATCGATCTGAACAGCAAGTCGAGAGTCAACACGATGGATTTCGACGAACTCCTTCTTGGACCCTCCTGGCTGGTATGCAAAGTAACTATCCTGGATCTCAGCTTCATTCTTTCTATACAGTGAAAGCTACAATTACTGAATAAACACATCATCTCTCTTGACATAGCCAGGAAGCATGTCGACTACAAGTCTCCCATCAATATAAGTCTTGACTGGACTGGTGTAGTCATCAAAGTCAAAGTAAGTATTCACGAAGGGGATCTCCACCCTGAGCCTACTAATCTTATCTTCCAAGTCAGCAGGTCAGGCCTCCGTGCACTTCACGATGTTGAACTCCAGGTAGATGAAGTCTGTCGACAGCGAGTTCCCTTGCACTGCACGAGGAGTTAAGGGGTTTAGAGTCAGGAAGGAATTTAAAAGGGTTGGAAGTAGAGATGGAGGAGGGTGAAGGAGTAGGCTTACCGATGTAGTTGCGTGAGAGAGGACACAAGTACTCTTGGATTCCGAGTTTTTGGACCTAGAGTGAGGAGGAGGTGTACCTCGGTCTGGTTGTAGTATTGGAACAGGCTTGTTCCACATCTTTCATATGGAATATTAGTGGATGATAGTTCTCCAGTATCTAATAGTAAGATTTACAATATGGTGTATAAAAGAGAAGAACTTTGGGAATTTTATCAGAGGTTTTTGAGTAATCTTACCTGGCTGCTTAATCCATTGAAGTAGCTCAATTTCGAAGTATTCGTTATTGTTGAAATCGAAATTATCATCGTCAAGAATAAAGGCATCAAATGCAAACGAGAAATCTGTTGTACTAAATTTGAATCAGAAAAATACGAATTATCTCAGAATTTTAAACCTTAAAAGGCACTATTATTTCTTACTTGAGAGATACTGGAGATTTGTCGTTTAGTATGTCTACATGTGAGTGAAAACACTCCTACCACTCACTATTGTGTTCACACTTTTTGATGTGTCATTACGTTCTAAAAAGAGTAACTATGAAAATGGTCTGGAAGCTGAAAGTAAACTCTTTGAAACTACTACAAAGCAATTTTATGAAGAAATTTTTCTATAAACTGCATAGCATATTTTAAGGCTGAACAAAGTGTTGGTTTGCTAACTTCTCTGTATTTCACAGATTTAGACAAAAAATTAAATGACAGACATGGTCAACTATCTTTGTGTATCTTTTCTTATCCTTGCAAAATTAGAAAATATCCAATGAGACAGGAAGATAAAAAGAATAGAAAAAATTGTTCGCAAATTTTTAATCTCGACTTTAATGATGCAATAGAGAGAGTCTTACCTATCATTATCTTTAGCATAATATAAGCATAGAGCACAATGACCACCTGAATCGCCATCGAGATGAGTCCTCCAAACAAGGTCCTAAATTCTCTACACACAATTATCCAAAAGTCATATAATGAGTAGACTTACTCTTTCCCTTTGAAAGTAAACGCTATTGGTCTTGGATACCTACACAATGACTTGTCCATGTTACATATCCCTATCCCTGACCTTCTCGAGGATGTACTTCGAACTTTTCTTGAGAATGTTCTTTCCCATTTATAAAATTAACTCAAAATAAAGTATTTACTTAGGGGTTTTGGGGTTTTGGGGTTTTGGGGTTTTGGGG